GCTCTACAGACCTAACCCTCAGTAGATTATAGAATACACTATGGTTAGGCAAACCTTGACTTGATCTATGATCTCTAAATAAAGTCAAATACTGACCAAAGTGTTATAGGTTAAACTAGTTTTGCCAGATTTGGTACAGAAAGGCTTTGCTTGAGGGATGCAGATTATTAATGAGAAGAGCTCCTGTTAATTAAAGGACCACTTCTAAACTAGTACAGCCAGCCCAGACAAGATGGTTAGGAACTGGTAGAAACCAGGACCTCCTGCTACCTGATTCTGTCTTGAAGGACAGGAATATGGTCTCTGAAACATTCCTATAAAACATGCAGTGGTAATTTACTTTACAACCAAGTGATTTTATGTACAGTATTATATGCATGAACATGCTTATTGTAATACTGTAGGACCCTTGTTAATTTTCCATCTTCTAGAAAAGCTGGCTCTTTATGCTGCCTGTTTAAGGAAGGGAAAGGTAAGAAAATACCTGAAATTCCCTGTGTACTAGAAAATAAGCTTTGGGAACTCCACACAACATGTTTAGACATTATATTTCTTTTCTTAGCACTCTAATAATCAAACTTCATCTCAGTGATAACAGAACCATTTAACACAAGCAACAGAGGCATAATCCAATACTCAATTCTTAAAGAGTGAACAGATGCAACACACATTTCATAAAACCATGTATTTTATAGAGCTGTAGGGTAATGAATTACATGCAAATAAGATATGGATAAACATGTTCTAAAATAGAAAAGCCAGAAAAACTTTAAAGTGTGAAACATCCAAACTGTAATTCTGTGTGGTTTGAAAGCCTTTGAAGAACAATTGGTTCTGAACTCTGGGAAGAATCATCTCTCCCTTTTCGGACTGCTTGTGGACAGATGCTTGTAGGCCATAACTGAGTGGTCAGGAGAATTTCAAATCATCTGGATTTCCACATAATTATTAAGCCACAGCAGAAAGTTGGTTGTTGCTTGATGTCATGTGTCAGCTCAACTATTGCACTCTGTAAACAGTGGTTATTAAGTAATGTGTAAACCCAGCATATTCTGACATTCAAAATGATGAAAACATAGTTTATCATGATGCATGAACTAAGAAGTTATATATCAGCCTAACTTATCTCACAAGACATTTGTGAAGATGACAGTGTGAGAGAAAAATGGACATTTCTGTTATAAATGAAACTAATTTTTCCACAAGTGGCATTATGTATACTAAACTAGATAGTTGGACTTTCCCACCACGATAAAACCTGTAAATCTTAAATCTAAGGTGCACAGCAGCTCATCCCACCTTACAGGGTTGTTGTTTTGGGAAAATAGGGAATACAAATACCCCTTGATTTGCCACAGTTCATTTAGTGATTATTCAAAGTTACAGCGGCACCAAAATAAGTGACTTATGATCACTTTTCACACTTACAACTGTTGCAGTATCCCCATGGTCACATAATCAAAATTCAGATGCTTGATAATTGCTCATATTTACAATATTTGCAATGTCTCGGGATCATTTGATCACTTTTTGTGACTTTCTGAGGAGCAAAGTCAATGGGGAAGCCAGATTCACTTAACTGTGTCACTAGCAACTGCAGTGATTCACTTAACTGTGGCAAGAAAGGTCATAAAATGGGATAAAGTTCACTTAGGAAATGTTGGGTTCAATTGTAGTTGTAAGTTGTATTAGTTATGTATAATAGGTACCCCCTCAGTGAAAGGGGAAAGTACCAGAGTTCCGTGCACCTTTGGCATATGACCATGGTGGTATTCAGCAGGTTCTGACCAGTTATGGAGAACCGGTAGCGGAAATTTTGAGTAGTTCAGAGAACCGGCAAATACCACCTCTGACTGGAGATTTTACAGTATCCTTCCCCTGCCACGCCCACCAAGCCACGCCCACAGAACCGGTAGTAAAAAAAAAAAAGAATTCCACCACTGCCATGGACCACATTTGGCCACATGACCACGGAGGTTTCTTCAGACAATGCTGGCTCCCTTGGCTAAGAAATGGAGATGAGCACTGCGCCCTAGTGTCGGGCACAACTGGACAGAAAAGCCTTCACCTTTTTTATAATAAAGGCAGGATAACGTTTTAATAAACATTGCCAATCTTGAAGGGAATGATTCAGTTTGAATGAAAAAGAAATTCAATCTTTTGTTGGTACCATCTCTCCTCATGATGCAAGAAGGATAAATTAAAACAGGGAATGGTCATAGTGACTATATTTTCTCAGAATAGTGTGTAAAACAGAAACCAAGTCATTTGTAGCAATCAGCTATAACTTTACAAAACAAAAACTCCTTAAAGAATTTGCAGGGTGGATTTTCAGAATATTGAGCTATGGATTTGGTGTGAAATACGTTATTGGACCAAGATTTAGTTTTATATTCCAAAGAAAGTATCTGTAGCTCAGGGTTGTGCAGTTCTTGATGCTGAGTTTGGTTTGTGTCCAATGATGTTACCTATTTGAGTTATGAAACATCTGCAAGCAAACAACCAAGTCAAAGAGCACCCAAAGAGACATACAGTATCACAGAAGTGAGTACACCCCTTCACATTTTGTAAATATTTAAGTATATCTTTTCATGTGACAACGCTGAAGAAATGACACTTGGCTACAATGTAAAGTAGTAAGTATACAGCTTGCATAACAGTGAAAATGTGCTGTCCCCTCAAACTAACACAACACACAGCCATTAATGTCTAAACTGCAGGTAACAAAAGTGAGTACACCCTTAAGTGATGTCCAAATTGGGCCCAAGTAACCATTTTCCCTCCCTGGTGTCATGTGACTTATTAGTGTTACAAGGTCTCAGGTGTGAAGGGGGAGCAGATGTGTTAAATTTGGTGTTATCGCTCTCACTCTCATACTGGTCACTAGAAGTTCAACGTGGCACCTCATAGCAATGAACTCTCTGAGGATCTAAAAAAAAATGAATTGTTGCTCTACATAAAGATGTCCTAGGCTATAAGAAGATTGCCAAGACCCTGAAACTGAGCTGCAGGATGGTGGCCAAGACCATACAGTGGTTTAACAGGACAGGTTCCACTCAGAACAGGCCTCATCATGTTCGACCAAAGAAGTTGAGTGCCCATGCTCAACGTCATATCCAGAGGTTGGCTTTGGGAAATATATGTATGAGTGCTGCAGAGGTTGAAGGGGTGGGGGAGTCAGCCTGTCAGTGCTTAAACCATACGCTGCACACTGCATCAAATTGGTCTGCAGGGCTGTAGTCCCAGAAGGAAGTCTCTTCTAAAGATGATGCACAAGAAAGCCTACAAATGGTTTGCTGCAGGCAAGCAGACTAAGGACATGGATTTCTGGAACTATGTCCTGTGGTCCACTGAGACCAAGATAAACTTATTGGGTTCAGATGGTGTCAAGTGTGTGTGGCGACAGCTAGGTGAGGAGTACAAAGACAAGTGTGTCTTGCCGACAGTCAAGCATGATGGTGGGAATGTCATGGTCCGGGGCTGCATGAATGCTGCCAGCACTGGGGAGCTACAGTTCATTGAGGGAACCATGAATGCCAACATGTACCGTGACATACTGAAGCAGAGCATGATCTTCTTCGGAGACTGGGCCAGAGCAGTATTCCAACATGATAACAACTCCAAACATACCTCCAAAATGACCACTGCCTTGCTAAAAAAAATGCTGAGGGTAAAGAACTGGCCAAGCATGTCTCCAGACCTAAACCTTGTTTAGCATCTGTGGGGCATCCTGAAATGGAAGGTGGAAGTGTGCAAGGTCTCTAACATCCACCAACTTCATGACATCGTCATAGAGGGGTGGAAGAGGATTCCAGTGGCAACCTGTGAAGCTCTGGTGAACTCTGAGCCCAAGAGGGTCAAGGCAGTGCTGGAAATAATGACATTTTGGGCCCAATTTGGACATTACGACTTTGGGGTGTACTCACTTTTGTTGCCAAGGGTTTAGACATTAATGGCTGTGTGTTGTGTTAGTTTGAGGGGACAGCAAATTTAAACTGTTATACAAGCTATATACTCACTACTTTATATTGTAGCCAAGTGTCATTTCTTCAGTGTTGTCACATGAAAAGATATACTTAAATATTTACAAAATGTGAGGGGGTGTACTCACTTCTGTGAGATCCTATATCTATTTATGTCTTGTTCCTGCCCACTTGGAGCTAAAAATCCAATTTAACTCAAAGGATTATTGCTGCAGGGAGAACTTGGTGGGTTAAAATTAGTAAGAACAGGAGAAGCAAGAGATGTTGTGATATTAAGCAAGAAACGCTTGAAAATGTAAAAAAAACATTTCCTGGAAGATTATTCTTGCAGCTGAAAGGATTACAGAGATAAATTCAGTATTTACTAGTATAAAGAATCTTATCTCTATTGCAAGCAGTGCTAAAAAAATTATCACTGTCTTCAATTTTTGAGGCTGTAGAAATGAACCTATGTGTTAGCATGGAAATCAGAAGAAATGCCTTAAGTTTGAACAGACAAGTGAAAACCTAAGTCAATCTGACCTCTGGTGGAGAACAGAAGGAATATCAGACCTGCAAATGTTTAAAGTGAAATAAATGATGCATTAAAAGTGCACATTTGAAAAATATTTACAGCACACCCAAAACTTTGTGGTTTTGCACTTCTAGTACTGGAGTGAACCAGACTAAGAAAGAATGACATAACCTAAAGATGTCATATCAAGTCTCAGTCCACAATGAGTAAGACATCCTCCCCAGAATCTCACAAATACTAAATCTAAACTTGATAGAATAAAACTCTTTATTTTCCTATGAAAGTCTTTTACCATGCTCATTTATCATTTTAAAAACAATGTTTTCCTTTTTCTTGTACAATGGAAACAAAACACTCATAAAGTTTTCCTAAGCCGGAAATAAAATCAATGTAAATTTCCTATAGTGAACCGTTGAAACTGGAAGTCTGGGTCACAAAATAAAGCCAGGAGAACAGATATAAAATGTTAAAATCAATGTGGAAACTATAAAAGTATAGCAACGCTTTTAAAATAAAGCTACATTACTTTTTTAATGGTTTCTCCATTGCCCCGTTACAGGTACATGGGTAGAAAAGCCCTTTTAAGCTTTCTAATTTCATCATTCAGTTCTCCAGATGGGGAGGAGTTTCTATTGTAAATTTTAATTTTCCCATCCATTATTGTGTATAAGAACATGGGGATTCAATCAGCATTTGTTACTCCACACCATGATTTATCACACTAGCTTGCAGGGAACTTTGACTGTATCCCCATGTACATACAGCACATGCAGGAGACACCATTGGTGTTCCCTGCAGCTGTACTATTCATCCCTTGTTGCAAGTAGACGTTATGTATCTCTAACACAAACACAACTCCTTCCTTGCATATACCCCACTGTATATGCAGCTGAGCCTTTCTGCTGCACGCACTAGATCTGCTCTCTATTCTGAATGGCATGGGGAAGTAATCCAAGTTTCTTTTCAGATTATTTCTTAACAGTAAACAGTGCTATAAACCCTGCTACCATTCACAGACCTCTCCTAGCAACTGGTTCCAACGAAAGAAAACTGCAAGAACTTGACTAATGCCTATATGGTTGGACTGATTATTCCTATAATCAAACGAACCATAGTGGTTCTGCTGGCTGCGAATCCTTTCTGAATAAAGTTCAATTCCTCATGGCTTGTTGGGTCCATCGGGTGACACATCTAAGGCAGGTTTTGTGCTCTTACTGGATTGTTTCTGGGATCGCTGTTTCTTTGGAACTTCCCCAGCAGCTGCTACAGATTTTTGGACTGGCTCCTCAGTATCCTCTTTTACCTTCTTTACCCTAGTTTTGCTTTTGACAGGGTTAGAGAACGTAAGGCAAGTTTTGCTGAATTCCAGGGGAAATATTCCCACATCTCCATCAAAGCGATTCTTGGAGACCTGTAAGTAGCGCCTGCCTGGTCCTGTCGTTAATTTCCTATCTTGCAGGATCAACACATTGTCAGCCTCCTGGCTGGCCTGCAACAGACAGACAGAAAAATAACAGTATGATTAGAACAGGGCAGACAGAAAGATCAATTGACTGGATGGGTGGGTATTTGTCTAGTTCCTTGAGAAAAACTTTTACCAAGAAGGATTTACCTTTGCAGATCCAAAAATGGAAGATGTTTGCAACTCTTTTTCTTCATCTTCTTTGCGGGGATGAATGATCAGGGTTACATGGCAATTGTTGTCGGTAGCAAATTTTCGGAAAGTACCCACAATGTAGTCTTGGAGGGCAAGCCTAGGCAGCAACAAGGCAGTATAAATAATACACTTTGCTGTAAAAGCTCATGAATATCTGAACAAAATGTGTTTTTCTTTTTCGGTGAACAAATAGCGCTAAATTGACAAGAGGATACAAAGCAGATATTTAACACTGTTTAGTACACACCCTGAAATGTTATGGCATTACAAGCTACATCAATTTAAGTCAGAACAGGCATCCTGAGCAAATGTTTAACCAAGAATAAGCAACTGGAAACAGGATCATGGGATTTGCACATGCTCTTCTCGTATCTCTTAATGCAGCTTGCAAAACGTGGACAGAGCAAAAGCAAAGGAACAATGTTATAAACTGATTCTATGCTAAGGAAACATGAAATTAGAGGATTACCTGTCTATACTGAGTTGCTCCTGGCCCATCATAAACTGGAGATTATCAATGACAACATGGGCAATGTCATACATGTACACAGCATGGAGCATGGTATCAATTACTGTCCTGCATGAAAAAATTATCAAGGTTACACACATGTAGAGGTTAATTTACTCTGCCATTCCTACCTAGTTCAAATAAGGAGTTTTTAAACAGAAAAATTTCCTGCAGGTTAAAACATGTCTGCAGTCTCAATTAATTTAGAGTAACAAATACATTTATAAAATTATGACTAAATAAGGTATCTTAAAACCCTCAGAATCCCAGGAAAAATTTATTCCATTAGTAGCAACCAGAACAAAGAATGAAGAGCTGAAGAATTTATCTGAAACATTCATTTACACATTGTAATATACAATTTGTATTCTGCAGTAAAGGAAACCACATGATATTGCATATTTAAGAGGAACCAATTGCCTTAACGTAAAATAGTGTACTCACTGTATAATTTGAGACCAATCTCAATATTTGCTAGGCAAATAGTGCTTTGTAACACACCCACCCCTCAACCTGTGCTAGAATATCTCTGGATTTTCTATCGTATTGTCTTATCCAAAAGGATGACATAATGGTGGCTTAGCAAAGTAATGGGATGCAATTCCCAGACTAACAATACATAGAGCTAGTTAATTTAGTCTTACTTTGGCCTTACTACTAAATGTTACATTTTTTTCAAGGATACTTATACTACTGCTTCAATACTCAACTGCTTCAAAACTCATCAAATTTGGTACTCGATAAATTTGATGCGAAAATATTGTCTAAGTACTCATTGCTTGGAACTCAACAGGCTGTGATAGGAAGAGGGGGGGATGGCTGCGGAGAATGGACAGAAAGTTGGTTATGCCGAGCAGTCACTGACATAGGAAAAGGGACAGCCAGAAAGCCCTTCCAGGCCGAAACAAAGGGTCGGTCACAAGGTAAGTCATGTGGTTTGCTTGGCTCTCATTTTTAGTACTGGTTGAGCCTCTGAGAACCAATTAACAATGAATACTGAGGTACCATTGTATTTCTTTCTGAATTATATCTATTTGCTGCTAATTAAACAGAACTAAGATTGCAAACTCAGCATTACATTAATTATAGCACTGTTTCACTTCTACTGACTCATAAAAAAGCAATAATCCATGATATACAAAGTAGGAAGCTGCTACCCCAAATTTTACTTGATGTTCTGTTGTCCATAGAAGGTCATGAAATGAAGTGGAAGATCCTCAAACTTGTCTGCCCATTCATCATATTTTTCCAGTTGCTCATCCAGTTTTTCCATGGCAAATTGAGTAAGCATGATCTTGGCCAAACGCACATTATGGATCTCAAAGCTGCCCCATAATGTATTAACCCCTTGCATGCAGAGATCCAGGGCATATTCACTTATGAAAGTGGTCTTCCCACTGCCTGTTGGACCTGATTCAGAAAGACAAAGGCACAATTAGTAAGAAAGGCAGTTTGATCCAAATTATGTAGAATATGGTTTCACCTGGAACAAACTGACACGCCCTTTCCTTTTATGGGAAGCTACATTGGCTACTCTGCAGGTTCTCTGTGGATAAGAAATGCAAATAGGGAACTATGTCACAACACAATATTTTCCCCATTGACTGTAACATTCCACTCACCCATTACAATAGTACTTCTAGAATGGTTTGACCGCTATTTAGTAATGTAATAAAAATCATGCTTGGAATAGTATATCAAATCTCCCATAGACACCTCTGCATACTCCAGTACATACAGCATCATAGAATTGCAGTAAGTCAGAATTTCATTTACTTTCATCTTCCCTTTTGCCAGAATTGGAAACATGCACAATTTAACTTAATAGCAGCACAGAAAATAAGTTAAATTTATTTTAGAACTCTCCAATACCTCTTTCTTTTTCTTTCTAATAATCATCACTTCTATTAAGTAAATTGTGCTTCTCCAGACAAAAATATCATATGGAAGCAGAAAATCATGAGAAGCTTATGGGAAACTGGTTTTCAAATCATAAGCTATGACAAGTAAGCCAAAATCTGACAAACAGCTGAAGAAAATTGCAGCAAATATTTCAATGATTACATATGCTGATGGAGGAAGGATGAAAGGGAAACCACAATATATTGCTGCCTTGACTTATTTATAAAAATAATAAAAGCAGGATATACATAAATATATAAGTAAATAAAATATATACTCACCTGTGAAAACAGTGAGCTCTCCTTTGCGGTGGCCTTTGAGAAGTTTGCTCAGTTCTGGGAAACGAGCCCATTTGACTCCAGCCACCTGATCTACATTGACCAATTCCCCATACACCTCTTCCCGCAGTTGACAAAACGAAATTATAGATTTGTGACCAGCTGGCAGAGCTGAGCGTACAATCTTGGTAAGGTTCATACCACTGCTAAACGCTTCTAAAGGTCGAAGCTGTTGATCACTTGGTCGCACCAAGTAACAACGCTTAGGATTCAGCTTACGTGCAAAATGTTTAGCAGATTCCCAGGACCGGAGATCCTCTCCTAACCATAAAGTGATCCTTTTAAACTGTTCTAAGTAGGGAAGTAAGGCTGGGGGAAGACAAGAAATCCCACGAGGCAGTGCCAAGGTGGGTAAACCAGTCACCTGATGCAACACCAGAGCATCCAACTCTCGGCCAGTCAACACCACTTCTGTATCACGCCGACTGATCAGAGGCAAACCAAAGAGATTGTGATAGGCATTGGGACGAGGCAACATATTCTCCACATGGTGTACTCTGTCCCCTTGGTGCTCAACTCGGAGGAGCTTCAACCCCTTCAAGCTGGTGCCAGAAGGACTGAACCATGGGAAGACCAATGCTTGACCAGTCCGAAGAAAACGCACCCCAAAATGTTTGAGAGTGGTATTCGACACGCTGGAAATGCCAAACATAGCCTTGACGTCTTTTGTCTCCTGCTCATCCAGCAATTGCCAGAGAGGCAAGGCTCGGTCCCATATGTGCTTGGCGTCCTCCCCAGTTGGGTCGTTTTGCTCATGAATACTGTGCCTGTCGCTTAACGTTAGTCCTTTATCCTGCAGCTCTACGTTGGCCTGGAAATCTTGCCAATTACCTTCGACCAGCGTGGCCGTGCAGATGAACTGGCCCGTCGTCTTATCAATAAAGAGGCTGTAACTATGGCGGAGCTGCTGTTTATCCCCCACAAAAATACTGGGCACGTGAATGCAACTGTAGCCATCGTGAAAGGGGATTTTCTGCGTTTTGAGGTACTGCCGGATCTCTGTGACCGAGGCAGGAGGAATCGGCTCCTGCACCGGCGGAAGCTTTTCCTGTTTGTAGTGCTTACAAGGAGAGCTCCCAACGAGCGTCCAGCTACCTGGAAGGCGCCGGGGACGCCAAAGGAGCCGTGACGTCACCGAGAACATTTTTATCTACGTCCTCTCAGCAACCTCGCAGGGTGCAGCCTCCTCGCTCTACGACCCTGCAGTGGCGTTTCCTAAACTGGCCCCCGGGGAAGCACCTCTCCTCCTCCTCCCGAGGAAAAGCTTCCCCCCCCCTGCCTTTCCTAAACTGCAAGACCCTCCCATGCCGCTGCCCTCCTCCTTCCAGCTTGCGGGGGAGCTGCACCCCCCATCCCGATTCCCGCCGCTCTCCGGCCGAGGCTGCCTACAAAACCTCCCCTCCGGCCGCAGCCTGACCGCACAGCTCGGCTCCCGCCTCTGGCTCCGGATCAGGGCATCGGCTCCCCACGTGCAGCAGTGGCGGAAAGCGCGCCACGACCTCCCTTCAAAACCATCACTTCCGAGAGCGGCTGCGCGAGAGGAACCAACCCGGATACAAACACCGGCTTGGCGGAACACACGGACTTCCCCCCCCATAGAGATAAATAACAAGAAAACGAAGCTTTCGGGCCCACAAGGCAGAAATTCGAGGGCGGCAGCCACGTGTGGAAGCTGTTGGTATCTGGCCATTTTTGCAGCCTTAGGAAGACCGTCGTAACCTAACCTCAGCCGTACATCCAAGCCCTTCCTGGCGATTTCTGTTGCTTTGCATCACGCAAACTGGGTCTACGTTGCAATTTTTAAACAGATGCCAGTGGTTTGCCCCCTCCTCTCTTGCGAAGATAAACCGGAGGCAACATGCCAGGAGAAGCCTGGAGTTTCTGTACATTTCTTGCGAGTCGCAGAAAAAGGGGGGACGGGGCTTTAAAAGCAAAAGCATTCCACGGGCAGAGAGAGAGAGAGAGAGAGTGTACGCTAGAGCGGCGCTGACCCCGTGTTGCTTCCTGCTTCACTTCCGGTTCCGAGTTCCGGTGCGGGTCGCGTTGCCAACGACGATGACCGGCCGGGGGACCCCGAGCCGCTTCTTGGCCAGCGTCCTGCGGAACGGCGTGGGCCGCTACGTGTGTCAGCTGCAACGCATCACCCTGACGGTCAGCCAGCACATGCCCAACTCGCTGGGCGCCAGGTGGGGAGGCAGAGGGGTTGCAGCGGGCGGGCCCGTGTCTCTGCAGGTTTCGGGACCGTCCGAATTCATTGTTAAGCAGCGCAGGTGTTAAAAGTGAGATAAGGCAGGTGATCAGGGGGCTCATATGAACAACGGTTGCAGGACCGGATGTCTAAATCTAGTGAAAAGAAGGACTAGGGGTGATAAGAGAGCAAGCACTGCTCCAATGATTGAGCGGTTGCCACAAAGAAGGAGGGGTCCGATCTGTTATTCAAAGCAATAGAAGACAGAACAAGAAACAATGGGTCAGGGGTCCCCAAACCTGGCAACTTGAAGACTTGTGGACTTCAACTCCCAGAATTCCTCAGCCAGCTCTGCTGGCTGAGGAATTCTGGAAGTTGAAGTCCACAAGTCTTCAAGATGCCAAGTTTGGAGGCCTCTGCAATGGATGGAAACTGTCCAAGGAGAAAAGCAAACGAGAACTTAAGGAGAATTTTTCCTGACAGAACAACTTCAATCAATGGAACAACTTGCCTCCAGAAGTTGTGGGTGCTCCCTCACTGAAGGTTTTTTAAGAAGAGATGAGACCACCATTTGTTTGAAATGGTCTCGGGTTTCTTCCTTGAGCAGCTGGTTGGACTAGAAGACCTCCAAGGTCCCTTCCAACTCCGTTATTTGCTTCCTCCTTCCCGATATTTTGACATTGACTCCTAGCTTCTTAGGAACAAGAAGGGGAAGCCCTGGCCTCCCTCCTGTGCCACAACAGCTGAGCCACGACGCCAGTTAATAGTATAAGCATTTCATATTGCAGCTCTTGCTTTTCTCCTGTTTTTTTTTTTATTTAATGTTACCATCCAAAGTAATATCTTTGTTCCCAAGGATGTAATAGAACTGACCAATATTTCTATATCCTCGACTCAATCTAAGCCATTTTCAGACAGCAATTAAAGGTACTTTCTGTAAAAGCAGAATTGAACAATTGTGGTTAAAATTCACAAATAAAGGCTAGACAGTCTAATATTCAGTAGATTATTTGCCCTGTTAAGTCTGTATGGGTTTGTGGAATGCTTACTCCAAACATAGGCACCCAGTACATGTTTTTTAACAAATGAAGATATTTATATAATTTGGTTCGTTTTCATGAGTTGCATAATATCACTGGCATCGAATGCAAAACATTTGGAAATGCCTACTTCTGCCTATTTTGGAAAAGAAGTGCTGGACTTGGTGGACTTTTGTCCTAAGAGGGTTCTTCAATCAAAATAATTTTATAGAAAAGTTCCGTGTCCAAGTAGACTTCATTGATTCAGGAATGTAATCCCTCACTTGATTTAAGTGTATTTTTTAAACACCTCAATGCAAATATTTTTTGATCTGGTTGTAGAGAATATGTTGAAGAAAAGATAGTGGATTTTGCAAGGCAGAACCCTGGGATTGTGGTTTATGTAAACCCAAAGAAATGCAGGATCCCCACATTGGTTGCTGAATACTGTGAGTATGGAATGTAGTGCTGAATAAAACCAAATAGAGAATAATCTGTTTTTTTTAACTGCCATTAACCAAGAAATCTGCTCCTAAGACTTAGCTGTCTCCTAAAACATAGTCAGGATGGTTTTCTTATTTAGCCAGATCACAGTTGGTGTGATCTAATTGTTTTAGTGAAAATTTGAGTGTTATGTTAAGCCAGTGTGGACAGAAAGATTATAAATATGGAAAACAAAATGAATCAATCATGAGTGTCCTTTTAACAAGGTTATGTAAGCACAGGGACCTTCAGTGTCTTGCAAAACAGCAGTCAAACTTGCTGTTTCTCTATAACTAACCTATCTATAACTATCCCCAATGTGAGTTTCCAGATGTATTGAGGTTGGAACTCCCAGTATTCTAAGACAGCAGATATTTTGACTCTGCAAGGAAGCAATATTGTGAGTTGTTGTCTCACTGTCTGTGAAGAGCGTCCTGATAGAATAATTAAGTAGAAATGTCTGTATCTTCATTGGAAATCCTGAACAAGCTAGTTTGCTTCATTAAAATGTAAAATTACAGAGATTGAGGAATTTGAAACCCCAGCTAATCCAGACAAATGTGACTTCTAAGATGGAACAAGTTTGTAAACAATTTTTCTTTCTAGTGAATGGAAATGTGAAGGAGGAGCCGTTAACCAGCAAGACTGCAGAAGAGATTGCAGATATTGTCCAAAAAATGGCCAACCAGTCTGGCCTAGAAATCATTCGTATCCGAAAACCTTTCCACACAGATAACCCCAGTATCCAAGGCCAGTGGCATCCTTTCACAAATAAGCCCAGCGTGCTCAATGTGCAAACCATAGGAGCCAGACTCCAGTCACTGGAAAAATAAGGCTATGCTATATGGCCTGTGACATTTATGAATGTGATATCTCTTGCACACAGGAAATATTTGCTACCTACGAAAGTGGGTACTGAAGGGAAATGACTGACTTGTGGTTGCGAACTCTACTATTGGGTGGTTCTAGGCCTGTCTGGTTATGCCAGTAGCCTTCTTCCCATTGTACTTTGCAGTTTAATTCTTACTGAAAATAAAGGATGAAACTTAATTTACTCTGGCTCATCATTTCTTTAGACCAGACATGGGAAGCTTGCAGTCTTTCCTCCCTACATAAATTTTAAAACAATTAGTTTTAAAATACAGAGAAGCTTATTGCGAAGGGTTCATGGTTCTAAAGAAGGAAATCATCCTGTTTTGAACACTCTTTTCCTGGTTTCTTAGATTGAAGCATGTCTTTTATTAACTCCAGTTAACAGACCAACTGTGTCCTTTCCTGAAGAAAGTGACTGTAGTGTATACACCATTAACTCCTAGGCTTGATTTATGTAACACACTGCACGGGGCTGTCTTTTTGCATGGTTTAGAAAATAGTATCCAAAGCCTGGAAAGTCTAAAAAGATTCAAGGAATATTTGGGCTAAAAAATTTGCACTACCAATTTGTTTCCAGGTGAAATACACAGTGCTGCTTAGTATTTTTAAAACCAAACATAATTTGGACTAGGCTATTTGAGAGAAGGCTTGTGCAAAACACTTTGTACAGAAGCCTAAATAGACTTCACATGGGAAGAAGAGGGGTCATTGTGAGATACAGTACATTTATATATGTATATCCCTTTTATATTTTTAGAAATAACTAAAGGTGATGAACATAACTAACATAACATTCCTCCTCCTTTTTTCCTCCACAACAACCCTGTGAAGTGGGTTGGGCTGAGTGATTGGCCCAATCGCTCAACTGGCTTTCAGGGCTAAAGTGCAACTGAACTCGCACATTTGTGAGGGTTCAATATATATTTGCTTCAATATACTATATATCTTGATGTTGCAATTTATCTCCAATTTGAGTACAATAATCAGTTGGTGAAACAAATTTGCATTCTATGTTGGCCTCAATTTATTCAGATTATATAGTGAATTTTCAATAGAAAATTTGCCCTTTAAGAAATTCCTCATTTTCAATATATGTTTACTAAGGAAAATATTAGAATGGGGTTAATGTCGGTCTATTTTTTTTTTCTTAAAGGCTATCGTATTATCAAATCTAAGCAGTTAAAACATTTTTATTAAAAAGTTAAAAAAATATCAGTGCAATTACAGAAACATGAAATGTACAGACTCATGTTTGATACATCTTCTAAGATGCCAGGTAACCCGTCATTTCTCTACCAGATCAAGTGATGGTCTGCTGTTGGCTCCAAATTACTGTGGCAAGCAGGATTGTGAATAATTCCAAAAGGATTTCTTGAAATGTTTATTGAGTAAACGCAGATTTCCCCCATCTCACCCCTTTTTATAAGGGGACAAAAATCCTCACTATCCACAGAGAACCTGAACAGATTATGGGTTGGAGGGAGGTGAACTTAAGGCTGCAGATAGAAGAATGAAAAAGCAATGAGGGTGTAGTGTGTATTAAAGTCATCAAAATACCAATATACTTACATAAATCTATGACACAGTACTTTAAAATGCAATACAGAGTTGTGTGGGCTTATTTTTAAAGAATTATTGTCCATTTGACAATATTTTTGAAGTTCTTGAAGAGAATTCAAAGGTCCGCTCATACAAGAAAGAGAAGAAAGGAGGTATTTTTATTTTTTTGTAAAAGAAAGGTAGCAATACTTCCTGGTTAAGTTGCAGGATGGTGAAATATTTATTGCAGCTGCAACAGAAGTGAAAATATTTTGAAGCTTGCCATTTCTCCATCATGGAAACTACACTCAAAAACAGCAACTTTTGCTGTCAGCGTTTTGGATATGCTAAGATCTTCAAGCTGATTGTTAAGGTTTCATTCAGATGGTCTTTAACAAAGTTGCAGTACAAAAATATATTTGCATGGCCTTTAGCTGTGCACATTATCATTAACATAACAGAAAAGTTTCATATGGCCCACAAATACCTTAAGCAATTTTTGAGTGATCTAAACAAAACAAGAGCTATTAATGAGTTCCTTAGAGGTATCTTAAATATAGCTGGAGCAAATAAATTACATCATATATTGAGTAAGTTGAAATGCTATGCAAAAAAGTATCAGATTTCCTAATGTTAGAAAAGACCATCAAAAACATGATTTTCATAATGCTCATATTGATGTTTTAGAAATTCTAACAATACCATATATTAGGGGCCCATGCCTATATACCATTAATTCCAGTGATCTAGAATGAGATTATTTCCAATTCAGATTAGCTTTGATCAAAATTGAAAATAAAATGCTCCTTTCTACCATTGAATACACTTTTTCATTAGCAAATTCTTGTTTTCTCATTCCATAATGTAGATCCTTATTCATGTTAGAACAAACACAGCTCTAGATGACTTTTGGATAGTTTTCAGAAAGTCTTTCACATCCCTCCAGATGTGTTCGAATACAACCTCATATTTACAGCAAGTACATGGAATGGTTTCTTGAGGCTTACAGCCAATACATTTACAGCGTACCATGTTGTGGTGTCTTAGGAACTCAAGATGGCTGGAATATTGTGAAGACCCTTTGCTGTAGCACTTGATGTTTATTTCTTTGGCAAACATTTTATTGCAGTTGTTAATTCGTTGTCCTGTTGAGAATGAGATGGGTGGTACCTTAAATGTGATCAATAAATAAAAAATAATAATCTTTTGTCAGTCTGGTGTAATTTTTTTTACCATTTCACTGATGAGGATTTTGTAAACCGCTTTGCGTCTTCATCAAGCAGAGCAACATATTAACCCAAGGAGGTAAATAAAATAAACTTCAGTGTTCTCCTGCTCCATATTAGGCATAAGCAGCTTTATCTTATGAAGTTTGGCAGATGTCAACTCTTTCTCTCACTATACTAAATCCAATCGAGAAAATAGTCTGTGTAGTAGTATGGCCTAATACCAAGATCTGAGCATCTATTCTTGCACCCGACTGCATTCAAAATTTACACATTTTTCTATGCATGAGATCTATTATCAGAGAAAAAGAAACGCAACACTTTGAAGAAAACGAAAGAGAGTTCTTATAGATAAGTAAAAAAGTACTGTAACTCAAATTTATCTGGGTAGCTCTGAGACAAAATGATTGTTCATTTTTGACCTTTTATGCTGTCCCCGCAAGGTGGCATTCAAAACTTGTCAGTTACCTTTAATGGGCATAGGGTTTGTTTTAATGTACTTCATGGGCATTAAAATTTAAATGCCAGGGTTTGCAGCATAATTCACTAGTTGCTATTGGCTGGGAGCACCCTACAGCCTTCTAGACGTAGCTGAATTACCACACTCAGCACCTCTCTCCTGGCCTTGTTGGCTAGTCTGCTGAGAGGAAGATCAGAGATGAGCTATCCATTCACTATGCTGACTCTGGTCAACAACTATGAATATAAACTCTGTGTGTAAAATAGAGATCAACAATAATGCCTAAAGTTATTCACGGTAAATCACATTTAAGGGGGATTCATCAATCACCGTTCATGATCGCAATTTACCTTAAAAAAAAAATCAAATGCAATTCTCACATATTTAAAAAAGAAATACATAAATGTAATTTGACTGTAAATTGTGGTTTAGAGGGTTTTATCAAAGTTTAGCTATCAACTTCTTAAAATCATAGTTAAGCCTTCGTTTCTTATTTACGACCCCTAGCTGGCAGGATTCAGAGATGCCTCATGATGGAAGGAAGCAGGAGACAACCAGACAAACCCAACACATCTCTGCGGCCCCCGTTTATTGATCAGCCTTTTATATAAATATAATTCCCATTTAAACAGATTTCTTTGTTTACAGCAATTGAAAAACAAAACGATCAACAGCAGCAACAACAAAAAAAGACAACAGTAAAATAAAAGAAATGAGTGCGGAGTCTGTGGCGGCTCCGGAGGGCCACTCCGGAGGTAGTTGCTCAGTCCTAACACTGGTTCTTTTGGCCTTCAGAGGCGGAATTGTGCAGTGGCAAGAGAGAATAGTTCAGCACATAGACCCTCTCTCCCCCTTACACAGAGCTCTCATCCAGTTTTTCTACCAACTGGGTATGTTTCCGCTTCTCCAGAATTTTGCTCAGTTCCTCGGTGAAAGAGTTGTACAGCGGTGAAGTACACGGCTCCTCGTTCTGTCGCAGGAGCATGTAGCTGTTGCCATTCATTTTGCGCAGCATGTTGGGCAATGTTGAAATGCCATTGGTGAACTCAGCAGGGAGAGGGGGAGGGGGAGGGGGGAGGGCCAGAGGTGTCACTTTGGGTGACAGTGACAAGGTAGGGGCTTCTCCGGGGATGATCTGAAGGCAGCCATCCGGATAGGTGCTCAGCTCCTCTTCATCCGGCCTTCCTTTGCTCAGGCAATTTGAAGAAACAGTCTGCAGTTCTACACTTGATGGTTGGGGACCCCCTAGCTGATACTTGCCTCTATGCCTGTGCAAACAGCAGACATAGAAAAGCACAACCATGAGCACAAAGCATAATCCACTCAGCACTGTGATGATCACAATGTAGATAAAGTTCACGTTCCCAGCATCATTTCTGGCCAAATGCCAAGATGGGAGGGTTGGACTGCTGGGCAGTTGTGGCCCCAGTTCTTTGGACAGCACAGTTAGACCATAGGTGGCTACCAAGGTATGCAGGCCATTCTCCTCGGCGTAGCATTGGTATTCTCCACTATAATCAAGCTGTGTGTCTGTCACCAACAATCCATCTACGCCTAATCGGAAGTGTCCTTGCTCATCCTCAGCAAGCACTTTGGTGCCATTCACCATCCAAATCGCCCGTGCCAAGTTGGATGTCTGTTCACAAGGCAGGAGCACATCACCACCATGCAGTACTGTCCGGTTCTTCTGCACGAGCACAGCTGTAAGAGACACAATAACAGACAAGAGCTCTCACACTACACAACTTCTGTTGTAATAATTCAGTGTCGGCACCCAGTATCACTTTAATAGTAGGGAAGAGGAGTTTGGGACTCTCAATCTGAAGGAAGTAGGGTTCCAAGAATGAAAACTTCAAAACTCTGAAAATATGGTTTAAAAACCAATTAACCAAGTGCCCTGCCTTTTTATGAAAGAAAAGACAATCTGGGAACAGAATTTGCAGAGATCCAGATATTTACGCTCAGGTCGAGAATTATCACAACTGCTTCATCCAAAAGCTCTTCCCATTGGCTGCGTCCTTCTATGCCCATTAGTCTCAGCTACTTGCCATTTCTATATTCTCCTATCCCACCACGGAACTTGCTTGCAGGATCCAGGAAATTATTTTCGAAACCAGAAGAAACTCATAAAGCTACGAATTATATGCAGATTGCCTTAACATGTAGCTACAATTTGTGCATGGATAATTGGGTTTTTTGTGTTTATTTTGTTATTGCACAAAAATTATACTGGTTATATTTGATTATCTAGTAACACTACGTCTGCAAAAGGAGAAGAAAAGGAATCTGCTACTCTCTCTGTCCAAAAGAATTAGGAAGCAGTTGATCTCTTCTGCATAATCATTCTCTCAACTACCAAGAAGGAGAGGGGACCAAGGAGGGAAGGGACTGACAAACTTACCCTGCACAGAATCGTTCCAGCAGCCCATGTTGCCATGCAGCACATCCTGAATCAGCAGAGATCTGGAGAAAATAAGCAGGACTCTATCAGTTAGGAAACACAGCAGCTAGAAGATTCTTAATCTCTGCAATATTCAGCAAACTTCATATAAAATTTCTTTGGCATATATGCAGATTCTTTTAATACATACTTATATAAATATTCATTTGCTCAGCACTTCAATATGTATAATAAGAAAACTGTAGTTCTTACCAACATTTCTTATTTCAACTCACAGTGTAATTTGCAAGTCACTCAACAGAGACCTAAATACTCAGACACCACATAATAACAGCATAAAATGAAGAACTCTTATGAGTTTAGATGAAGCTAAGCTTTTGTACATGAGATACTGATTCTCAGGAATGCATTATTTGGGGAGACCTAAACTGATCCTAAAGTTTCACAGTATTTTTTTGTAAAAAATAGATGAGATATTTATTTAAAGAAATAAAGATATTTATATAAATCTGTTTAATTATGTTTAATGAAATTCCTTGCATTTTGGAGCTGTTAACTTTTGTAAGCTTTTAATATGCTTGTATTAAAAAATACAGAAATACTCTATAGCTGACATTGGGTTGGTATGCTCCAGGTTCCACTGATTAAACAATGCCCCTTATCAGAGTCCGGAAGAGTACCTTTTCTGTGGTAACATCTGGCCTCTAGAATGAGGTTCTCCCTCATTCCATACACTCAGCGAATTCAAACAACTCCCATCCTATTGGTTTTTCAAAGTGGCTTCAAGGCCTGGCCTTTTGCCCAGATCTTTGGAGAAGACAACTAATGCTCCTTTCTGTTCTCCTCTGGGTCTGTTTTCTTTGCCATTGTTGTTCTTTAGTCTTGTGCAGTTTTTGCAGTGTTTTGTATTGTTTGTGTAAATTACTCAGAGTCACTGGGAGATGGGCAATTTAATTAATACACCATCAAACAACAACATTTACCAATCTCAGGTCCTTGGAAAGAACTTGATAGGTGGATAAAAATGCCAAATCAGTCTGAATATCTGATTGATTCTGTGATGAACCATAATAATAAATATGCTTTTGCTTTTTTTCAACTATGTCCTTCACTATTGTTGCTTGAAAACTGCAACTGACTCTCAATATGATAAACCTAAGCCAGGTTTTAATAAATATCAAAGCAAGAGAATCCTACTGGATGCCCTCTTTTGAATGAAATGGACAGAAAAGGCATACTTCAGACCAGGGGTGGGATTCTACCAGTTCACACCTATTCGCAAGACCCGGTTGTTAACATTCTAAGCAGTTCGGAGAACCGGTTGTTAGAAGAAATTACTGGTCTAATCCTGTAAGGAAGGCAGGAAGGAAACATTCTGGTGTTGCTTACAGAAACTGCCTCTCCGTTAACCCTTATTACATTCTTGGCAGGACTAGACTTCCTATCTCAGGAACATCTCTGGAGTTTTTTTCCTTCCTTTGCTGGTACTTTGCTTGTGTGGAGTGACCATTCAAAGTTACAATGGCACTGAAAAAAGTGACTTATGACCATTTTTCACACTTACGACTGTTGCAGCATCCCCACAGTCATGAGAGGCCAGGCGAGGAGATTCGTGCCTCGATGTGAGTGATACTGAGTTGGCCACACCCAGCCAATAACATGATCACCAAGCCATGTCCACCCAGTCACATGACCACCAAGCCATGCCCACCAACTAAGCCACACCCACAGAACCGGTTGTTAAAATTTTTGAATCCCACCTCTGCTTCAGACCTAATGTGACTCTACTGATCTAACAAATAGGGTGTTTGCAGAAGCTGCACCTTTAAAAAAATAACCTGATCTCAGTTAAGAGATAGGAAGCCTGAACCCATATTTTCTTCTTCACAATCAGTATTTTCATACCTGTCCAGAACATCAGCTATATCTTGGCAGCTCTTGCCATCCCAGGCACAATATGGATCCCGGGCCAGGATGCAGCTGAAGCAGGAGATGTATTGTGAACAAGTGGATAGTGGTAACTGCAAGACGCCACTCTGGGCTCCAACGTATAAACTCCTCTGCAAAAGAAAGATGCTTAGTACCGATTCCACATACTATTCTTGATGCATGAATCTGTCGTGTTTTCCTCATGCCTACCCTAAGGCAGGGTATTGATGTTGCCAAATCACAGATGAATGGCAGTTCAAGGTGCAGCTTTCCAAGGCCTGACTCAAGACATGGAAGAGTGGAAATGTTAAAACATGGACAGGACTCTTCACTGAAACCTTCACTGACACTCACTAGGATAACACAGAGAGGACTTCCTGACGGAGCTTCTGTCACGCCAGACTCATTCACAAAAATGTACAAGGGGTTCTCTTTCCCTCCCCAATGCTCCGGCCTGTTTTTATTTCCACAAAACATTGTTTAAATGTTTAATGTTTAATTAGTTCAATTAAAGAATCAGAAGCTGTTTTTTTCCACCAGCTTGGTTGAGGTAGCACGTTTAAGTTTTTAATGAGCTAATTCAATAATCAGATTAAGCATGTGAATGGAAATCAACAGCTGCCCAACCATTTTTTTGTTCATGGACTAGAACTACAATCTGGAACCACCCTTAATATCCTGACCATTTCTTCTTCCCATCTAGGTAGATAAAGGAATGGAGATGCATAGCCGTTATTAGGTGATGGCAAGAGGAAACAGTAAAAGAAAACAAAGTGTGACCCTGTTTCTACAATACAAAGAGTCTACTTAGTCACTGACTTAGCTCTTTCTTACTGGTGCTTTTGGAAATAGTGATGCTATTTGAACTAAAAGTATCTACACAGTATTTGGTGACAAAATACCTGCCAGAAAACCATCAGTTTTCCATCAGTCCTTGCAGCGGGAGAATTCTAGCATTGCTTTACTATCTAACATGCTCTTCCCATCAGTCATGCAAGAAGGCACTAGGTATAATTGGGTTGCTGAAATTTATCACTGTCTGACATATATTATTATGTGCTGCCAGGCCTTGGCAGTGGCACTATAATGGAGAGGCTTGCTTTTTCAGCCACTCTTTCCTCTTCAGATCATGTCCCTGAAGAACCAGGGAAGTCAAACCGGGCAACTAATTTTTTTGTATATTCCCATGGTACAGCCGGGTGGAATTAGTTTTTGCAAGTTTTGGTTGGTTTGGTGATATATTTACCTCCCCTCCCTCAGATCAGGGGTTTCAAACTCAAGTCATCACAGCAGCGTCACATGATGTATCGGGACTTCCCCCCCTTTCGCTAAACAGGGCAGGGGCGTGGCCAGCACATGACGTATCCAGCTTGCGGGCCGGTAGTTTGTCAGCCCTGTCTTAGATGAATCAGTCAGCTGACCCTTTGTTGTTTCCATAAGAAACATCCATGAATCTAGTTAAACATGTGGAAGCAAAACTACAGGACTGTGTTCATATTACACATAAGGCAAGCACTTTTGGTCTTAGCATATGATACAAAGTCAGCCTCTATGGATATTGTGTCATGTGAACCCCTGCAATATGGGTTAATGAAATAAATCAAGGTTATTCTTGTGTAGGTGTGCTGCATGAACAAATGTAATGAACATTATCTACCAACAGTTGGTAAAAAGGTTCTTACTCTGATCTCTCTAACTACTTTATCCTTCTCTTTCATCAACAGAATACTTTTATCTCAGAATAATATTTTGTGTTTCTGCTGAGGAGGATTATGATCCAAAAAAAAGGTACTCTTTGTTGTCTTGGCTGCAACATCGAGAGTTTTCCAGCAGATGGAAGCAATGAAACAGAACAAAATGCTGGCATTATCCATGCAGCCATTTATTCCACGTTTATTTATTATTTACTCAACATGGATCAAGAGTGTTATTCTATCAACTCCCCATCCTAATATGAAGAAGTGGGTCTCCGATAACAACCTTCATATCAAACATCCGGGAACACATATTTTCCCCTTCATAGGAGACTGCGGGGGTGGGGTGGGGGGACCTGTCTCCCTCCTTGCATCCTACTTGCATTTTCATTCTAGTTAAGTACAAAGATTGCTAGTTAAATATTGTTTCTCAAAGTGATACGAGCAAAAGACGCATGAGCAGGTCAGTTAAAACTATAAATATTCTGTTGAAACTAATACTGTAGTAAGAGGGCACCCTGGGTATATCATACTTGGGCTGAAAAACTCCAAATGAGCACTAGATCAGGGGTCTCCAACCTTGGCAACTTTAAGCCTGGTGGACTTCAACTCCCAGAATTCCCCAGCCAGCTTTGCTGCCAGCTTTGCTGGCTGGGGAATTCTGGGAGTTGAAGTCCACCAGGCTTAAAGTTGCCAAGGTTGGAGACCCCTGCACTAGATGATAGCAAAGACATAGAGAAAATTATGTTTCTTTGCTGCCATATTCTTTCCCCTGGATTTTTGCAGCCCAGCTATGTTATGCTTACAAAAGGAATAACTTAAATTTTAACACAGCCTGTCCCATATCCTCCAGACGTGATGTATTCTTCATGCCCATGCTGAATGAAGATGAAGAATAATCCAGTTCATGGAGAAAGAACCAGGATGAAGAAAGCTATTACACAGATTAAACATTATTCCCTCCTGCAGCTTCTCGCCATAAATATTTGGCCATAAATCAATTGTAGCATTTAGAGCGGGGGGGGGGGGGGGGAATCATGGCCCTTTTATGGCTGGCTCAGGAATTTTGGGAGCTGAAGTCCACAAATCATAAAAGGGCCATAATTTCCTGCCCCTAATCTAGAATAAACTTGGGATAAAGCTGAAACAGAATCAGCACCTTTTTTGCCTGATAGGAACAGAGAAATGTTATGTGTTGACTTCCTAACTCAGGGGTGTCAAACTCAAGGATCTGGCCCGCAGGGTGCTTAGATCTGGCCTGCAGGGCTGCCCTGGAAACAGCAAAGGACCGGCCCATGGTGCCTCTGCCAGTGAAAACAGAGCTCGGGAGGCCTGCGGCCGGCCCTCCTGAGCTGTTTCTATGGCAGAGGTTTGCAAAAGGGCCATCACAGCCTAAAATGGAGCATGCAAGGGCCATGGGTTCTCCCAAGCTCCATTTTTGTGGCAGAGGGTTGCAGGAAGCCATTGCAGGCAAAAATGGAGCTTGGGAGCCAGATTTTGCTAGCAGAGCACTTGGGCCACCACTGGAGTGACATTGAGCTGGCCACGGCCATCCTGGCCCCCCAAAGACAAACACAACCCTGATGCGGCCCTCAATGAAATCGAGTTTGACACCTTTTTCCTAACTAATACCCCTGTGTTGACTTCCTTTCCAACAATTATTAAAACATCTAATGAAAATGTCAAGTAAAACAACAACAGCCAGGCTTGAAAGATTTAGGGGACATTTGGGACCATGCAAAGTGGGAAGCAAATATCCTCACAAAGAAACTAGAATAGCAAGCTCCAAACAGTTGTCAAAGGACAGCCATATGATTAGTCCTTGGACAAGTGGTAGTTACTAATAGAAAGGACAAATAAATAGCTTCAAGGCATTTTTTTTTTTACCTAGGAGTGGAAAACCACCACTAATAAAACCTTCATCCACACCATGTTTCCACTACTATAGTTGTATATTTATTCCTTTATTCCTCTATTTTATGGTAGGCAAGAATTGAGGACAGCCTACTTTTGTTTCAAGCTTCAACAATATATTTTAATGCTAGTGGCAGACAGAAAATAAATCTGGATGCTAGGTGATTGGTTTTTATTTCTCAGTTATATAATGATAACAACATGGTTTTTTTTTCATGCCTGAATTACACAAGAGAAACAAAGGAAGTTCAAGGTTACTATGAGTGGACTGCTGGAAGGAATTCAGTTAAGAAGCTCCTTTTTAAAATTCAGTACGTTTTGCTCTAGGGTCTAATTACTGGGTCTGGGAATTCATTTAATAACAAAAAGCAAGCTAAACTCATTTTTAAAAAATAAATTCAAAGTGTAATAAAATAAAGCACGTTAGAAAATAATTCTTAAAAATGAAAAGGTAAATATCTCTATCAATTATTTTTTCTTCCAGCCTGTTGTGGACATGGAGACCAGGTAAAGAGAAACTAGGCAAAAATTGGTGATAAATGCAGATTGTCTTGGTTTGATTCTTAAATTTGGATACAACTATTCAAATTAGTGTGCTATTTTTGTAATGCATGTCTTTTCATTGGGAGAAGTGTAATTTAAAGAGCTGTACTTAACGGTATCGGGGAAGGTCTACAACTGCTTATACCTGTTGCTTGGAAATGATGATGTTCTCTACAGGTTGGGGTTTCTTGAAGGCCTGCATCTCCTCTGTGATATGGATCATGGAGCCAATGACGACAGCCTTGTGAATCCATCCATTACCTATTCAGAGGTAGTTAATTATTTAAAGGAGCAACAAGAATATCCTGGCACTGAAATTCTAAAAATTGAAGACTTCTGGAGGAAATCAGATTTCAATTGGTCATTTATAGCAACCACTACAAATCAAAGATTTGCCTGGTCCACCCATTCCAACTGCTGAGAATTATATTTCTGAATTAAGAGCATTCTAAATATTACCCAGAACTGTGCGTCCATGATGTCACCTATACCTTTCTAGAACAAAATTCCCATTCCTCTTTATGGGTTAAATCTGTGTCTCTTCTTAATCAAGAAGTATTAAGTTTAAGACATAGGGAAAACTTATCTGAGCAGGGGAAGTTGAAAACCAAAAAAAGGGGTGAATTATTTGTTTGCGGGGAAGGGGTGGATGAGCTCCCTCCAGAAGAGAGGGAGGTAGACTATAAAGTGCTATAAAGAAAAATACCGTATTTGTGTGTCAACCATAACTGAATGACACCGATATAGCTTAGTTTTAGGGAAGCCAAGTTCTATGTTATAAAGAATATAGAGGTTTGGAAAAATTTATAAGAAAAAAAGCAAATTATGATTAGTCTTCCTTGCATATAGTTAAGAAAGGAGCTAACAATTGAAAGTCTCTTGAGTTGTTAGAGTGCACACAAACATACATACATGCATGCATGATGAATTTAACTGCAATTACCTGTTCCCAAAAAGAGGATGTCATACATATGCCCATCCAGGGCTTGGACTCTGTCTACTGCAACTTGGGTGTAGACCACATTTTTCTTTATTAGCAGAGGGACTCTATCTGTAGGTTTCACCTTTTCATACATCAGTGGATGAATCTTGATAAAATCCAGCACACCATTGGGCAGATCCTGGGAGGAGTTGTAGCCTCTTCTGCGAGCACGATTGGTAATGCACTGCAGAGGGTAAACAGCTATAATTGGCCTCACCAGATCAAAAGCTTGATGTTCCTTTCTTTAACTTCGTTCCTTCCAGATATGTTTTAGTCCAGTTCTCATCATTATCAATTAGAAATGTTGGAAGCATAATCCAAAACAACCAGAGGAATTAAGTTTTCAAAGGTTACATAAAGAGCTAAAGCATACAAATTAAAGCCTTCTGATGGACTTGCACACCTTCAAACTGCAGCAAAGATTTAAATGTATTCCCATCTAATATCCCAATATACTCCACCTACCCATTTGGATCATTTACTTACAGTTTTTTTTTTTTAAAAAAAGGCATAACTCCTCTGTAAAATATCACAGGGAGTTCCCATGTCTACAGTATTTCACCCTGGATCTTTGGATCTCTTATGACGAGGGAGTACATGTAACTCCTGTATAGTTCATCTGAATAAAGATGAAGATGAGATACAGATGAATATAACTCACTGATCCTGGCCGTGGCTCTGGTACATTCCCAGTGTACTGGAACCACTTGTGGGAGGAATCTTGGTATTCCATGTATGGCCCTTCAAAAGCTTCACGCAACTCTGAGATGTTGTATCGGCAAACAGCAGACATCTCTATGCTCCTCCTGGAAAATACAGGAATATGGTGGGAAAGCCAAAATTTCAAGGTTCTAACCATCGGTCACAAACCAGGAGAAGGTAAATTTAATTTTTGTGAAGGATTACATTCCCTTAGGACTGACATGCAATCTTTTTGCAGTCAAACAATTGGCCTTCATTTTTATATTTGTTCAGCTTCCAAGAAATTGTCATCAGCGTGGCAGCGAGATACAAAGATACACTGAGGTTTTGAGGCAACTTGTCTGTCAGTAATCTGAAAATTTATCAACAGCACCAAACACAATCAGGCAACTGCCAGGGTCTTAAAATACCAACAAGATTTTGTTACTACACTTTTGACAGCACTAAAACTCCCATAGTGTTTTTGACATAGGTTATCTTTTTACAATAGGCCAAATCACGGCTTACTTAACAATATTTAATAACCCAATGGACTTTCATACAACATGCTGAACTATATAAATAGTGATTTACAAACCACTATCACTAGTTGTTAATCTATCATTAGTTGTTGCTTTGATCACATCCAGCTACAATGTTACTATTTTAATATCTTATAACTTATAGCAAGATTCATTTTGCCAACCTGCCAGGAAGTAATTCATCATAGGGTCTCTGAAGCTTGCCATTGGTCTTGGTATGCTACCTTGATCTTAGGAATGTCTGGTTTTAGAACTAGATTGTACACCAAGTTCTTTAAGTGTACCATTCTTTGGAGCTGGCTCAGTCTCTTTCACGTAGCTAGTCTTTTCACTTAATAACTGAATCTGATGGCTTCTTGTCATAATCTAGGACAGGGATAGGGAAACTTGGCTCTTTTATCACTTATGGACTTCAACTCCCAGAATTCCTGAGTGAGCCACAAAAGGTTCCCCATCCCTGGCCTACTGGTTTTTCAGTTGTGAGGGAAATCAATTTTTGACTTGAATGGGACTGTTTAATATACAAATGTAGGACATATAAAGAATAAAGAATATAAAGAATATGTCCTACATTTATATATCTAGGACATTATAAAGAATCTGAAGTTTTGACATTCCTTATCATGCTCTGAAGAACAAAGCTACCATTTCTTCGTATTCAAGTTGATCAATTTTTTGCTACCACTTCTTGGGTCAAAAGAATGAAACACATAGAGAAGTGGCAGTGAATCCAATAGGCAGTGGGTGGAATAGAAGCCCATTAGTCTCCGCTAAGGCCTAACTCTCATGAAAGGCAAGGGAACAGGGAAGGTACAGTAGCAGAGGATGGCGAAACCTTGGAATCTTAACATGGAAGTATCAGGCTCATTTCACCCAGCTATCTCTATCACACTGTAGGCAACTAGTTTCATTCACAAAATTCATAAATATGAACAGGAGTGTGATAACCATCTTTCACTCTTGCTCTCTAGAGGTAGAATCCTTTTTGCTGCCTGAAATTATGGAAGTAGCAAGCAATCGTTAAAATTAATTGCCACTGGTAGCCCCCCCCCCCAATTTTTCTAGTCCTCTTTAAACATTTTCCAAATTCCTTGGGCCATCCTGATTTTTTAAACAGCAAATTTCACAATTCAATTGTACCGATTCATGGGGGGGGGGGGACACGACACAACTGAAGGTGAATAAGATTGATATGATTTATTTTTGACGATAAAAGGAAGTCTTATACATTTGAAAGGATTACAGAAAAAACATCTTGTACATTCCAAATGCTTCTTTGAGATCAATGGCATGGGCTGATTATTAATAAATACATTTGATATGCAGTCCTTTCACAATGGGGATTTAGCTTCCTAGGTGGCATTTGCTATAAATGCAGACTTCAAAGCTGACAAATATTACAAAAGCACAAAGGTGCTAATTAACTGAGGAGAACTTGTAAAAATTCACAGTATCATTAAGAGAAACATGCAAAAAGCTGGCCTTGGCTTAGTTCAAAAATAAGAAGAAAAAGAAAGATGCAGCTATAGTAGTTACAGCCCATATGGTAAACTGCAGTCTTTGTCCCCCAATTGCAACAAAGGGATCTTGCCAAAATATTGGTGTGATTTTCTTTCCAATCACTACTGCCTTCTGCACATGTAGCTAGTATTAATCTATACCACAGCTAGTCACTCAGAAGAATTTCTTTCATAAAACGCCCACAGCAATTCTGGCTGGTTGTTGTACCAATTACAAACCAAAACATTTATAAGGACAGATGACTGTACTGGTAATTACAACCAACTCTATACACCAACAACTGTTCATGGAATGAGGACTGTGTATAGTTAAAGAATCTGCTTGTCTTGGCCAATATAAAATGCCTAGGCCCTAGGGTGACCAGTGCTAGAAGAAGAAGGATCCTGCTGCTGTTTAAGAAAAAAAGGTTCAAGAAGTATCTGAAAGCAAGAAAAGTTCGCTCAAGAGCTCCTGAAAAGATTAGGAATTCAATTGCCAATTTTCCCCCTAACAACATCAGATTATTTTCTCAGTAGTTTAATGAATTTGTGAATAGTAAAATACATACAGCATATACTGTATCTATAATTCTTTCAAATGTGGGTTGAATCTGTATCTGTTGGCTTGGAACTTAGACTTAATTACTTTATACCAGTTTGTGCAAATGTTTCCTAGAACATTCAGGCATATATGATCGACTTTTCTCGCTTGAGAACTTCTCTATATTATTTGCTATATGGTAAAGAATGCCAAGTTCTCCAGCACAACAGGTAGATTAAAATTGACCCAATGGTCAGCGTCCCATGGCATTTCCTATTTAGTTTCTGTCCTGTTCATTGTTCTGCATCTCCCACATTCTCAACATTCCAAATTTTCCCCAACCTTTTAAATTATTTGATCCCAAAATTATACAGAATTCAACATTATAAAAATGCTTGGCTCACCATTGGGCTGATAAGATGAATGTTGCATAGAAAACAGTGCTCGTCCAGTTACCGCCATCCAAACTGGCAACATCTTTCAGTACTTCATAGTAAGGGATGTAGCATTCTAGCTTTGCTTTCATAAAGGATGTCCATTTTCTCTGGAGAATCTTCTTGCCACCCAGATCATTCTAGAAAAAAGAGAGCCAGGTTAAACAAATCCTTTCCTCAGCTTAAATGTTTTTGACCAAATTATGGGGGTGACCAGAGGTGTCCATAGCCTCTATTTCATTTGCATAGTAGCCTGAACCAACCCTCTGATTGCATTCATTAGTGCAAGTACATATTCACAACAGACCATTTATTTTACCTTACACACTCGAGCTACTCGAGCTACTCGGGGCACCTGGGCCTTCTCAAATACTGATGTGCTCTCCTCTCCAGCACGTTCAGTGAAGAAATAGTAGATTTTGTCGTCATCTCCCACAGAGCTCCTTGTGCTCTCCCTGACCAACATAGAAGCCACAAACTCTGCATCTGCAAGAGAAGGAGAAAGGTTAGCATGGTCTTTCAAAGAAAAGTGTCTAAGGCTGCTGTGCTTACACAGGGCAGGTCCACAGTCATGAGCCTCAAGGTCTTTAAGGAAGTGAGGCAGGGTTTGTCTCTTCGTACCTTGAATTTTCCAGAAGACAGCTCAAGTGATTGTTTGTCATTTTCTGGGGAATGGAAGCAGGCTATGATTCAGGCATACAAAGGCTAACTCACGTAAATGCAAGATTGCTTTTACTATCCAGGAGGGTGAGGAATGAAAGGACCTACCATTCAGCCAATGCAAGGGGGATTCCTCAGTCCTCAGAACCCGCTGGTGCCAGTTGCGTCGGATGTCTGGTAGGCTGCGGAATTCATAGCGTGTTGCTGTATATAAACTGCCATCTTGGAAACAAATGCAACAAAAGCAATAAGGACATGCTGATCCCAATAGATGTGTTCGTTACAGTATATGGTTGACCTTTTTTAAAAATAAACTCTCCTCTACTTTTTCCAGATCTGTTAGAAGAACCACTGGGGTATGCCAAAGACATGACAGTTTTAATATGGTTAGACACAGAAGGGTTTTTCAAGAAATAACCCAAGCTTTACTCGCCCATGACATATGTATAACAAACAAGCAAGTAAATATATGTATACCTTGCCTCCCTCCAAGCAAGTTTGATCCATTTTCAAATTACTAAGAACATTTAAAAACAGAGGAACAATAACCAATCCCCCTCTACCCCAAGAATAAAAATAGCACAAATGATGAAACTGGGAACAAATTTTAAAAAGGGGTTTCAATCACCCTTGCCAAAGGGGGGTATTCTGTCCTTTGATACTATTCTATCCTTTGATTCAACTGTTGAATATAAAGACAGATAGATAACTCTACAAATTCTTCCATACAAAGCTTCTTTTATTGGATTATATTAGGTATCCTCAAGGTAACTCACAGTTATGTCGAGATGCTTCTAATGTCCAATTCTTTGCATAGTTGAAATCATAGTGTAAAATCACAGTAATCTTTCCCCTATTTCATCCCATAGTAGTAGAGCCAAAGGAGAGACGCCAGCATGAGGTTGGGGTCCGAGCAAGAGTGAAGAAACCTCCCTCAACCCACCAAGGGTCAATTCAGTGACCAATCAGCATTACAGATGTGGCCACATGAAATGAACTACATTTCCCAGGATACCTTAACTACATTTACCATGATGCATTCCCCTAAGGGGACAGCTCCCAGTTCCTAACTAAATATACCAATTCCCATTAACTATAACTGGCTGGACAGCACAGGGGGAGATGTTTACATGATCGCTGCCTGGGGTGGGCATTGCATGGATGGCTGGGCTTTATTTTCTCATACCAGAAGAGACTGCAGCCAATACATCAGTGGAGGTTTTCAAGAAGAGACTGGACAGTCGTTTGTCCAGAAAGGCATAGGACCTCCTGCTTGAGCAGGGGACTAGAAGATTTCCAAGGTTCCTTCCAACTGTTCATGCTTTCCATCCAGAATAAGAAAACCAAGTGCAGGGGACAGAGATACACTAGACCAGGGCTGTCAAACTTGCAGCCCACGGGGTGGATGCGTCACGTGCTGGTCACGCCCATGCCCAGTTTAGCAAAGGGGGAAAAGTCACGATACATCACATGATGATGCAAGTTTGACACCCCTGCAATAGACTCCCCCGAGCAATGATCACTGGCGATGCATTCCTTTGAAGCTTCACGCAAACACCCCACACACATTTCAGAGAGGAATTTCTCACATTGCCCATTCTGAATTTGAGTTGAAGCAGGGGAAAGGATTGGTGAGAATGGAACTACATACCCACAATGAGGCCTGTATAACCATGAGCAGGATCATAAGGACATTTTTCTTTCCCTTCCTCAAAGTAAGAGGGTAACATGAATTTGTTGATATCCTGCAGAAGATGAACAGAAAACACAAACCATTCTTAAGACACAGAACTCTGCCTTAATGTCCTTGGAGCTTCATTATCCCACTGCGGAAGCAAATTCAGCATTTCATGTTCTGGGAGCAAGACAGAAGACAGGAAAGGATTCTTGCTAATCAATTGTATGCTCACTCTCCCAAAAAGCTCCTAGGTGCCCTTTGGAACAAAGATTCCCATTCTTCCACATACTCACTGCCCTTTTACAATATCCATACTTCCAGTTAATCAGAATCAGTAGGACTAGCTCACTATGTTTCTGATAGGCTATAAAGATCAGCATTTCCCAGAACTGAGATTACTTATCTCTCTGCAGAATATGCGCCGTTTGGTGGCAGTTTGGTTAGTGCATATAATTGTAATGGTAAAGTGTGGTTTAGCACAGAACTGCAGTACCTGAGGTCCCTGGCCTCATGTGCTTCCCCCCCAAAAGCTTGGATATAACTTCACCCAAGTAAATGGTTTGGATTCTGGCGGTATATCAAGGTGAGAAATCAACACATAATAAATATTGTTTCAAATGTTTATTTATTGGATTTTTATCTTACCAAATCAATACTCCTTCTTCCTACTATTTTCCCCCAATAACAACTTTGTGCAGTGGGTTAGGCTGAGAAAGGGTCCAAAGCCAACCAGCCAGTTAATGTGACACAACAGAGAAATCATGTCGATCAGAATATAATTAGAATAGAACAAAACAGAATAAACAGAGTTGGAAGGGACATTTGAGGTCTTCTAGTCCAACCCCCTGTTTAGGCAGGAAAACCCTATAGCATTTCAAACAAATGGTTGTCCAATCTCTTCTTAAAAACTTTCAGTGCTGGAGCATTCACAACTTCTGGAGGCAAGTTGTTCCACTGATTAATTGTTCTACTGTCAGGAAATTTCTTCTTAGTTCTAGGTTGCTTCTCTCCTTGATTAGTTTCCACCCATTGCTTCTTGTCCTGCCCTCAGGTGCTTTGGAGAATAGCTTGACTCCCTCTTCTTTGTGGCAGCCCCTGAGATATTGGAACACTGCTATCATGTCTCCCCTAGTCCTTTTTTTCATTAAACTAGACATATCCAATTCTTCTTTCTTTATATGTTTAGCCTCTAGGCCTCCTATTGATTATACAGTATTTACTTTTGATTAAATGTTAATGAAACAAAAGCTTAAATTAGATCTGGTTCTACCTTTTGGAATATGCACCCAGCCCCACCCAAGCTCACACAAGGATGCCACACAAAGGTTCCTGGCTGTGAAATGGTTGCATGATTTTGGTTTACCATAATAGGTAAATCCAATGTGATTTCTACCAGTCAACAAATATGTTTTCCTGCTTCCATTAACATTTTTCACAAGAGGCAAACCCTTTCACCCAGTTTTTCCACACATTTATTTATCAAATGTATATCCTGCCACAGTCACACAAAGACACTTAGTAGTTCACAATAACAAAATTCTAACATCAGAAGCAAATAAATTGCAATGACTAAAATTTTCCAGGATAATGTAGCAGATCAGATCCTCAAAGGCCCTCTGGAAAAAACTTGTTTTTAGCATTTTGCAGAAGGCAGGTAACTTTGGAAACTGAATCTCCAACACGAAGATATTCTGGGGGGGGGGGGCAACCCCCAATGCTCCCAAGGTTTGGTCTGACTCTAGTGGGGAGACCCAGTCCTACAGGTAGCCAAGCTGTGAAGAGCTTTATTGGTTAAAAACAGCATTTTAAATTGTGACCAGAAAAAAAATAGAGAGCCAGTCCAGAATTTGTAGAAAAAGTTTAATGTGCACTTAGTGGCAAGTTCCCATGAGCATTTTGCACCAAGCGAAAAAAAATTTAAGGGTAGCCCCATGTAGGATATCTTGCAGTAGTCTAATCAGGTGGTAAGCCTCATGTCCTAAGTAAGACTCCATCCACTTATCCAGCAGGAGTCATGAATCCAGGAGGATCCTCAAATGTTGGACCTGCTCTTTTATTCCTCTCTCCTGCCCAAACCTAATATCAAAATTGTTTTTAAAAGTAATGGCAATTGGATCAATTACAAAAATATAATTGGAAATTGAATGATTTCCTATTTCCTACTCCAGGGGTTTAGAATCATCCTGCTGATTTTGAGCAAAAGCACTAATGTTCGCCCTATGAACCAGATGGTTGGCCTCAATTAGCATTAAGCATTAACTAATCAGCATTAGCTACTTGGCCTGAGGAGCTGCACTCAGTATATGTGGATTGAAAGTGACCTAGCTCTGATGCAGAGCACCAAATGCCTATACCAGTCTCAACAGATCCAAATCTTACGTTGTGGCAGATTTACTACCTTTATCATGACCTACTAACTTAACATACTTTATACCACACTACCGAATGACAATTTTTTTTATCATGGAATATATCAACCACTATTTTAAAATAAAACACTGTAAAGCAGAAAAACAGAGTCCAAAGAACCAGGTCACTTACGCTGCTCCCATCTCCCTTTCAAAATTTCGTGTGTGTGAGAGAGAGAAAGAGAGAGAGAGGGAGGGGGGAGGAATAATGAAATATGGGGGGTGGGGGTGGAAATCATACTAATACTTAATTTACGTTTATGTCCTGGCCATCTCTTAATACTGTCCTGTCATTTTGAGGGATTGTGCCTTTCAACTGGAAATGAAGGACCAGCTCTCAGGTCCAAAAAAGACTATCCCTTTAGTTTTAAACTAAAGTAACAATTTAGAGTACAATAGTTACTAATAGAAACACTTCCAGAAAGTTCTGGTAAATAAAAACAGAAAATAAATGAAAACACAAAAATTAAAAGATCTGGAAAAACAAATCCAACAGGCATACAGGAGAAACTATTTGTACTCTGAGACATAAGCTCTGATGGAAAACAATCTTAGCTTTAAGATTTAGCTTAGCTTCCTTTTCCTTCTCTCCCCACAGCACTTCAACCCCATTCCACTCCACCCTACCTTACCCTACCACAGATAAGCCAACTAAGCAATTGGAGGTGCTTGTCAATCATATCAGGCATTAGGATACTTTATAAAACAATGGCTGGTCTGCATTTTTCCCCCAACGCCACATAATTCAGTGCGATTTGGATGGGCTGAGGTTGATTTCTTGAAAGAGGTGAAGAAGAATGATGTGAATTATTCCAAGATTGCCTATGAAGACAGTGCAATGGTCTAAAAGAATAAAAATGCTAGTGGTATGGAAGTTCCTTTTAATTATAGACAGCTTTTAAAAAAATAAATGTATGGAACTGACACAATGCATGGAATTAAATATAACAAGAAAGAAGCATTGTTGTTAGTGTAGCATGAGACAAGAAAGTAAAATAGATGCAAATGGTAATAAAAATAAAAGTTGCAGTTGTTCTGATTCCCCAAGGATAACAGGTAATCTAACCAAATGATTTATAAAAGCATCATGTTTCACATGAACGGAGGAATAAAAGGAATAAAAAAAATTACAATAGATCTCTGTTCAGTAAATTTGGAGATATGCACTTCAAACCTTAAATGTAATATTCAAACAACAGGAAGAATTTTAATCCTAAATGTAATTACTTAGAGACTGAAGCAGTTATTCTCTCATTTTTGTTTCTCAAACTCTAACAATAGCTTTCATTTTTCAAAAATAATCTTCTGACGTCTTTTGACAATTGTGTCAACTATACCCTGTAAGTTATAGGGTCTAAATTTATGTTAAATTTACGTTCACTAATAAAATGAAATACAAACCTGCATACCATCCTATCTTGCAGCACTTAAATCTGCCATTTACTGTAGAGGTTTCATAAGGATTATTGTGGAAGGATGATGTTAAAAAGACTAGGCCATCCCTCATCCTTGTTGTATTATACTTTAAAACAGTTTTTATAGATCAATATGAATACAAAAGATGGAAAAGGATAAAACTCACCTCAGTTTTAAGGGATTATGATTTTTCTTTCTTTTATTTTTGTGAGACCTAGATCAATTTGACAGTATCTATTAAATCTGCTTCTGAAACTGGGTAGTGAAACCTGGAACCACACTGCTTGCCAAATGAGAATTTTTTTATTTAAAAAATAAAATTGGAGAGGAAATTGAATAATGAAACTATAAGGTATGTTTAACTGATATGGTGGATGACATTAGGAGAGAATATTGAAATGTTGAAAATAAGCAATGAACTTGTGACTTAATGTGAATATGTGTATTAAGATATATTATTAACTCTGCTTATACTAAAATGTATGATACATTGATGACACACTGTTAATGTATTGTTGTGTGTAGATTGAAATAAAAAACTTGATTAAAAAAATTCTTATCAGTAACCTTTCTTGTTCTTTGAAATGCAGTATCAAAGGAGATTTGTCTAATCCGGACCCTATCTCTTTGGGGTCTCATAAAACTTTGGATTTAGAAAGCGTTCAATTTATTTTCTACATTTGAGAAGTCAAGAGCCATTCCTTTTTAATTTTCATAATAAATCAATCTGTTGTATTGTTTTTAATGAAACTAATTGTTCAGTACATTCTTGGAGTCCTTTGTTTGCAATATTGTAGATATTTTGAATCCATACCGTATATTGAATACAGAGATCTGTATCAATAACATAGACGTTAAAGTTAAATAAAGCATTATATATGGCATTAAATAATCCTTTAAAAAAGCAAAGGTTGCTATATTTTCCTTCACACGATGGAATGTGAAATTATATACATTCAACCAATAGTAGAAATTGGTTGTTTCTATTGTTCCCACAATACAAACAAGAAATCATGTCACTAGTGATATCTTATTGCATGACCTATTTCAATTGGTACAATAGTTAGAGAGAAAATATAGAGTATTTTCCCAACTATAGCCAATTGTAATTTGAATGTAGAGAAAGTATCATTTATTTGCAACAGATGCATCAGCTTGAAGAACAATGGATCCAACATAACAAGCAGCAGCTGAAGAGGCCTTCATCCCCACTTTGCTCTCCATTGCATAAAAAACCTATTGAACCATTATTTTTACCAACAAAATCTCCTTTATTTGAGTACTAGCAAGTATATATCTGAAATTACAGATGTTGATCCCTGTTGTTCCTCAAAAAATCCAAGAATATATGTAATACAGTTAATAACATTTTGAGATAAATTAGACTGGAATATTATATGTTATTATATTATATTATATTATATGTCCAAGATAAGCTTCAGTGAGATCTGGACCAAAGTCTCCTAGATCCTATCTCAATTTTTTTTCCTGGTCTCCAAATAACAAGATGCATTCCAATATTAAAGAAATTAATGTAAACATGAATTTACAGAGACTTTATAAAGGCATATTTATCTTTATTTTCCTGTACTGTTTAGGGAAAATCACTAGTCTTCACCATCTTGGTGACTTTCATGGACAACTGGATGAGAATTATTGCAATTGTAATGTAACACACAGAAAGCTTGAGTTTGGCAAAAGTTGGTTTTATATGAACAAAATAAAAGAATGCTCCTCAAAATATTAGTCTAAAGTCAACTGGTTCCTGAAAATCAGCAAAAAACGTGCAGGAAAAAAATGGCACATTCTGCCTTCATCATGGCAAACCAAAGAAATAGATTCTCATCCTCTAGATCTTTTCATTCCTTGGCAAGAATTAGCAGTAGAAGAGCCAGGACGGCAGACTGAATTATTATGCAAGATATATAATTATTATGCCAGTCTATAAACAGAATATACCTACATCCAATTCTGTAAATTCTATATCAAAAAGTTGCTGATGGGAATAATGACTGGGAATGTCAGAAACCAGTTATAGTAATAGTTATTTCTTCAAATTCCTTAATAATCTATCCCCTTAATAACGGTCGCTCCTCATTTAGGCGGGAAACTATACTGGGCGCCATTTCTTCTGAAGTTTGGGCTGCTTCTTTTCTTCAAGCCCACAACTTGTCAAGAACCTTGTCTCTATGGTGCTCGTCCCGCTCAGCTGCCTTGGAGCTCTTTCGAGCCCCTGCAACCTTGTCCTTTGACTTGGGCTATAACAGGAAGACATCTGGTCTGTGGCTGCTAGGCTTAGAGAGCGTGATGGCCTGCGAGCCGTCTCCTCAAATCTCCTGACAGCGTGGCTAGCATTCTGCCATTTTTAATTCCGATGCCGATATTCTGGAGTTTCCACAAGTTATTCTGCAGCCTTCCTATCCTACGTTATCTAAAGGTTACTCTCCCCCTATCTGACCTGTCAACGTGTGAGGAGATTTCTGCCTTTGCTGCAGTCTTCTGCCCCTTCAACGCTGCCATGGTAAAACAGGCATCCACATGGCCATATTTAAGCCATTGAGAGCCTTGCCAAGCCAAAGTGCAGGGATGTGGTGTGGATGGTGTTTCTATACACCTCCCGCAAAAAAACGATGCCCTTAGCCGATCCATTGTCCGTTGAAATACACTGCTCAAAAAAATAAAGGGAACACTTAAACAACACAATGTAACTCCAAGTCAATCACACTTCTGTGAAATCAAACTGTCCACTTAGGTAGCAACACTGATTGACAATCAATTTCACATGCTGTTGTGCAAATGGAATAGACAACAGGTGGAAAGCATAGGCAGTTAGCAAGACATCCCCAATAAAGGAGTGGTTCTGCAGGTGGTGACCACAGACCACTTCTCAGTTCCTATGCTTTCTGGCCGATGGTTTGGTCACTTTTGAATGCTGGCAGTGCTGTCACTCTAGTGGTAGCATGAGACGGAGTCTACAAACCACACAAGTGGCTCAGGTAGTGCAGCTCATCCAGGATGGCACATTAATGTGAGCTGTGGCAAGAAGGTTTGCTGTGTCTGTCAGCGTAGTGTCCAGAGCATGGAGGCGCTACCAGGAGACAGGCCAGTAAATCAGGAGACATGGAGGAGGCTGTAGGAGGGCAACAACCCAGCATCAGGACCGCTACCTCCCCCTTTGTGCAAGGAGGGACAGGAGGAGCACTGTCAGAGCCCTGCAAAATGACCTCCAGCAGGCCACAAATGTGCATGTGGCTGCTCAAACGGTCAGAAACAGACTCCTTGAGGGTGGTATGAGGGCTGACATCCACAGGTGGGGGTTGTGCTTACAGCCCAACACCATGCAGTACGTTTGGCATTTGCCAGAGAACACCACGATTGGCAAATTTGCCACTGGCGCCCTGTGCTCTTCACAGATGAAAGCAGGTTCACACTGAGCACATGTGACAGACATGACAGGGTCTGGAGATGCCATGGAGAACGTTCTGCTACCTGCAACATCCTCCAGCATGACCGGTTTGGCAGTGGGTCAGTAATGGTGTGGGGTGGCATTTCTTTAGGGGGCCGCACAGCCCTCTATGTGCTCGCCAGAGGTAGCCTGACTGCCATTAGGTACTGAGATGAGATCCTCAGACCCCTTGTGAGACCATATGTTGGTGCGGTTGGCCCTGGGTTCCTCCTAATGCAAGGCAATGCTAGACCTCATGTGGCTGGAGTGTGTCAGCAGTTCCTGCAAGATGAAGCATTGATGCTATGGACTGGCCCGCCCATTCCCCAGACCTGAATCCAATTGAGCACATCTAGGACATCATGTCTCGCTCCATCCACCAACGCCACATTGTACCACAGACTGTCCAGAAGTTGGGGGATGCTTTAGTCCAGGTGTGGGAGGAGATCCCTTAGGAGACCATCCGCCACCTCATCAGGAGCATGCCCAGGTGTTGTAGGGAGGTCATACAGGCACGTGGAGGCCACACACACTACTGAGCCTCATTTTGACTTGTTTTAAGGACATTACATCAAAGTTGGATCAGCCTGTAGTGTTTTTTTCCACTTTAATTTTGAGTGTAACTCCAAATCCAGGCCTCCATGGGTTGCTAAATTTGATTTCCATTGGTAATTTTTGTGTGATTTTGTTGTCAGCACATTTAACTATGTAATGAACAAAGTAATGAGAATATTTCATTCATTCAGATCTAGGATGTCTTATTTTTGTGTTCCCTTTATTTTTTTGAGCAGTGTAGTATTCAGTATTGGTGATTATTATTTTTTTTGAATTAAATTACTTCAAATTTTGATTCTTTAGGAGAAGAAATTAACATGTTGTCCAGCTAGCTGACTGAATCAATTTCTGGGAGATCCCTGGCAACAGAGGGAGCGTCCTCAAAGATTTGACAGACTCAGTTCAATCAGCAAACAGAGACTGATCACTCAATCCTGAATGCTGTCTCCACCAAAATGGAGAATGTCAGAAACCAGTTATGGTAATAGTTATTTCTTCAAATTTGTTGGAGTTAATTATTTAATTATTATCTTAATATCACCCTCAGCTCACCGCCGATAAATAAAATGAAAGCCCAAAGCAGTGGTGAAAACCACCCTCACCCCCACTTTTACTTACGATGTAAGCACAGAGTGGGTGGAAGGCATATGTACCACAAGCATACAGATGTGTTGAATTTAGCCTCTGCAAAAGCTTGATGTGATTGTAACACTCTGTCTGCAAAAAGGAAGCAAGAGCATAATTTTCTTAAGATTTCTCATACATTTTTCTCATTCATTAAAGGTTCAAACAATCTGGTAGCACACCTAGAAAGAGGCAAAGGCAATGCACTCACCTTGTTGTTTTTGCCTTTTTTCAAGCATTCTGCTTGCTTCTCAGGAGATGCTTCCCAATTTAACTGCAAAGTAACAGAAAATGAGTTTGTTATTCTTTCAGCCAACCCAGCACAAGAAACGGGTTAATTATGATATTAAAAAGAAAATTCCATGAAGTTCAAGCAAAGCCCATTTAAAGTTCATATTTAGTCTTGTTCAAAGTAAGTGGATTTAACTAAATATAAAGCAGGAAAGTACAAGAGGGTTTTGTAGCCCATTTATTTTTAAAGGCCCTTGACTGAAATGAGAGTTTTACCTTTTGCTACATTAAGGGAACAGCCAAGTGAAGGAACAGAAAAAATAGCTTATTATCATTTTATTATTATTATTATTATTTTATTTTTCTTATATGTATCCATTTCATGTATTAATAACTATGTTTATACTTATACCTGTTATCTTATAATTGCTTGACAAATTAATTAATTAATTAATTACTAGAGGAATGCCTTCTGGAGCTATTTCTCATATCAAATAAATAGAGAGCGGGGAAGTAAGTATAAAGGCCCCAAATAAGAGTTCAAATATATTATTTCTAGACTAATTACCTGCCATTTTGACCTGACCTGGTCATACATCATGCTAAGCCACAACGTACAGTCTGGCTTTCTAAGTGATTGCACTGTTTACAATGCTTTGCCCTGTAATTCATGAGGTACTTCAACCATGTGATTTGAGTGGCTCTTGACAGCCTTTTGAATATAAACATTTCATTCTTGCCTTCCTTTTTTCCTGTATTTAAAATTGTCCACAAAACTTTTTCTACTGTTTCAATCTATGTTTGTAATATATATTTTGCCTGCTATAGATTGCCTGGAATTTCCAATAACAGTTAAATAGTATAAAAATAAAACAAAACATATTCAGTAAAGAACCCAGCTCTTCCCCTACGTTGGTGAATAAACAAGATAAATTAAATCTCAATTTAATATGTGTTGCAGAATCCAGATTACCCCCAGTATCTATTTCTTTGTGAAGACAGCCTTTGTGTGACAATATTCTGACATAACAAAGGCCATGTGTACATACAGAACATTGTATCTCATTTTACTATAATAAAAAAGAAATAATCTATTCTAAAAAGGCCAGGGAAAAGCATTCTCTGTATCTGTTTCCCACATATATTTTTCTCCTATAATCTAAATTTAGAGAGAAAGGAGGGGAATCTGTTCCTAGTTAAAGCAGAATCTGAATTGCACAGGTTTGATTGGCTAATTCTCCATCAGTCATGGATATCTCCCTTATCAAAGCAGATTTCAAGTTTAAATTGAAAGAAAATTTTCAGGCAACAAAGAGCTGTGAAGAAAATCTAAAAAATAAAGTACTCAGTCCTTCTGAAGTATGAATTGTGATGTGTATGCATTGTTCTTGAGTCTGTCTGGAGAACACTCGACAAATGAAATAGAGCTTAATCCACGGGTGTACCCTTTCTCCTTGAAATTATCTGTGCACCCTATTTTTCAGACTATAAGATACACCTTGGTTTAGAGGAGGAAAACTAGAAAACGGGAGGGCAAAAACAGGATCCGCAGAGCCCTCCGGAGGACAGAAGCAGGCATGTTTTGGACCCGCAGAGTGCTTCTGGACGCCAGGGAGGCCGAAAACAAGACACATGGAGGCTGTGGGAGGCCAAAAATGGGCCTATATTCGCTGTATGAGATGCATAGACATTTCCACTCACTTTTTTTGGGGGGGGGAGTCGTCTTATAGTCCAAAACATATGATATATTCCTTAACAATATGCATTTATTAAAGATACCAAACAGCTAAACAGATGCAAATATAGCATTAATTCCCACAGAAGGTTCATACTTGATTTTACCAAAAAATATTGGCCAAAATCTTTATTGAATAATGGTAACATTTATATCTTTCTATTTGAAATAATCAAATACTTGATTATACTTGAAGAGAGGATTCACTGGAAAAGATCCTGATGAAGGAAAAAGAGATGGGGATGGCAGAGGATGAGATGGTTATTGGCATGCTGAGCATGGGTTTGGGCAGAATCCAGACCAGAGGTGCTATTCAGCCAGTTCGCACCTACTCGGTAGCAAGAATTTGGCGTGGGTCGCCAAACCGGTAGCAACATCTAGCTGGCCATGCCCCCAACCCGGTCGCCCAGTTTCTGCTAACTCGCTTGCCCCGCCCACCTGATGCTCGCTGCCCCAGTTTAAAGCAGCCACTTGAAAACACATGACTGTGGGTGGAGCAGCGGTCTGTTAACCTGCAAAACTGTTCCAAGGCTGGATTCTTCATGGACACTAGAAGTATCACTTCCCCTTGTGAGTAAAGTGCCTGGAGGAGAGGGAAAGAACGCTGGGGTGTGGGGGGAATCCAGCCATGGGGAAGTTTGCAGGAGCTTCAAATGCAAGTCCGTTTACCTGCAGAACTTCTCCAATGCTGGATTCACTTCCCCTTGTGAGTAAAGTGCCTGGAGTGAGAGGGAATGAAGGCTGACAGGGTGTGTGTGTGTGAGAGAGAGAGAGAGAGAAAAAGAAGAAAGAAAGAAAGAAAGAAAGAAAGAAAGAAGAAAGAAAGAAAGAAAGAAAGAAAGAAAGAAAGAAAGAAAGAAAG